CCCCCTGCCATGGGCAGGGACACCTTCCATATATCCCAGATTGCTCCAAACCCCCTCCAACCTGGTCTTGGACACTTCCAGGGGTGAGACAGCCAAAGCTTCTCTGCGAAATCCATTCCAGCCCCTCACCACCCTCACAGGGAAGAATTCCTTCCCCACATCCTCTGCTCTCTGGCAGTGGGAAGCACTTATCCTGTCCCTCCATCCCTTATCCAAAGTCCCTCTCCAGTTCTCTTGGAGGCCCTTTAGATACTGAGAGGGGCTCTTAGGTCTCCCTGGAGCCTTCTCTTCTCCAGGTGAACACTCCGAGCTCTACCAGCCTGGCTCCAGAGCAGAGGGGCTCCAGCCCTCAGAGCATCCCTGTGGCCTCCTCTGGACTTGCTCCCACAGTTTAATGTTCTTCCTGTGCTGGGGAGCAGTATCTCACCACCCTCACAGTAAAGGATTTCTTCCTAATATCTAGCCTAAATTTCCCCTCTTTCACTTTTTCTTCCCCTCACTCTTTAAGTATTTCCCAGTATTAACTGCGATATCCTCTCTTTTATTCCCCCCTACTCCAGCTGGGATGCTGCATATGAGAGAGAACTGCAAACTTTTCAAGACATTGGAGATGCCGGGGAAATCTGGTAAATAAAATAACTCCTACAGAGTGTTTCTGTTGTTTCTTGATCAAAACAGACATTGCAGAAACACAGTCAGCAATCCGTTGGGTTGCTGACAAAAGGATGGGGAGTTTTAACATTGAAGCCACCAGTTCCTCTCTTGCTCAGTTTTGCAAAGCAAGTTTCTCAGTTGCACTTGGATAAAGTGTCATGACACAGAAACTGAGCTGGTAGCTGAGGTGTACGTCACTAAAAAATTTGCTTTTTATCCCTGAGCTCAGGTTTAACTACACAAGCTGCCCTTGCTGCTCCCTTTTTTAATATGTGGGTGATATCACCTCCCAGAGTTGGGTTTTCAGCGAATCTTAAGGCCATGGGATTAATTTTATTTTGAGAAGAGCAAACATGAACTGTGAGCTGTGGCAGTTGTTACTTCAGTAACACTAAGAGGGGCTTTGCAAAAGCTGGAGGGAGCGAGTGATGACGTAAATTTGCTGTACCTCACGTAGATTTTTTTGCTGTTTTAATTCCCTGAGCCCTCGTTTTACACAGGTTTGGAGAGGAAAGCATGGTGCGCATCATCAGGTGGCTGGAAAAACACGGGGTCCCCCTGGACAGCTCTGTGCTCGACATTGGAACTGGGAACGGTGTTTTGCTGGTGGAATTGGTTGGTGTATTGCAAAGTTTGTGTGTTTTTTATACAGAATCAGAGCTCCAAACGGAGCAGTTAAAATCCAGTTCTCACAAGTGACAGTAATAATCCTCGTGAGCTGTAAGCTGAGTGAAAGACAGAGAGTCAGTACTTCAGGTTCCAAAATTTACAGTATTTCTTGAAACCAGTCAGCATGAGCATCCCTTATTTTAACTTCACCTTTGTTTCCCTACACTTAAAACTGCATTTCTTCCCATTGTTGTGTAAACTCCTCCAGAGAAGGGAATTAAGTTGATTAATGCACGAAGTACCCTCATGTGCAAAAGCAGACCCTTTGTCTACATTCAGTTCTGATAATAAAACTCATTACTGATGTGGAAAAGTGGGTCAAACCAAGGGCTTCTAGGTAAATTACTTACAAAGTAACACTACTTTTCAAGCAGTGTCCATTTCTGTCAGAGTGAAAACTCTGGTCAGATATGTTCTGAGGTGTTACAGTGTTGTTTTACAGTGATACAAGATATTTAGGAGTTCCAGTATTTTTTTCCTGGTTTTAATTGATTTTTTTTTTTGTGTAATACTGCAGGGCAGTTGGTAAAGGAAGGGACTGTCATACTTGCACAGCTTCTATTGTTCTGCATTCTCCATTGGCTCCACTAGTTACTGTAGGAATTGAAAGGGCTGGAAGTCAAAGTCAGGTTTGTAATGGAAATTTTTTCAACATGGATATTGATTTTAGAACACTTTAAAGCCTTTCTGGGGACTGGCTGCTACACCACAGCACAGGGGAAGTTATGTCATCAAAAACAGAAACTGCCCATCTCATTAAGGGAAATTAGCCTAATAATGATGATTATTAAGTACAATACTAGCCAGCTCTATCATCATTGAAATATCCAACAGAAGTTTTATAGTGACCCCACTTACAAATAGGAAACTGATTTTCATACTGTAATGGGAAAATGACAGCCTGATAGCTTTTAAAAACTATTAAACTGCTGTAAAAGCACCCTCTTTCCTTACATTAAGCACCTCAGAGTACTGTGGTTGCTTTTGTAGGGAATTTTCAGTCCAGTTCTCATTTGAAAAGTTACTTCAAAAATTATATTGTTTAGTTTTGCTAAATAATTCAGGATCTCACTTGCTTAGTTCATTTAAAAGATTTTTTTTTTTAATGCCAGGCCTTGAAAATCAGGTTGGGATTCTTCTGAAAATCAAGTTGGGATTCTTTTGGCAAGAACAGCAGCTACTGTAGGACTGTTCTACCACTGGAGCTGGACTCCATAATGGGATAGAAATGGCAATACTGGAAAAGACTCAGCCATGGAAGACATTAGTAGCACCTCTCTAAAAGGGAACTACTTGAGACTACCTAAGTACCACATAAATAGGAGCCCTTTTTATATGTGAAGTAGACCTTGGTCCTACCCCTGTTAACTTCAAGGATGTGATAGGCTGGATTGAAGACATAATTCTTTCGCCTCTTCTAAGGAAATGTTGCTGCCACACAAAGCTCTGATCTTCTCTTATTTTTATGAGTATTGTGGCAGCCAACAATATTGAAAATATTGAAAAGCTTCTCTGGAGCGAAGGATGTTCACCCACGTTGGGGTGCCTGTCTGGCAGCAGCAGAGGCCCAAGCACAGGGCAGAGCTGATACCATTGCAAACTACCTTCTGCTCTTTAATCTGCCTCTCCAAGAAGCATCAGAAGAGTGCCATAAATACCACCTTCAGGGCAGGAGTCCAGCTGCAGGATGGCACTGTGAGGGAAGGATCCCTTCTTGTCACAGTCAGGCCCTACAGGTTTAGCAGCATTTAGTGTTGTTTATCTCTAACCTTTCCTTCTCTGCCCTGGAGACTATAGGAGTGAATGGGAACTCCCTGCAGTGACTCAAGCCCTTCCTTTCCAAACAGAGGAGCTGTTGTGGGAACTACTCTTCCACCCCCAAGCCTTCAGCACAGGCATCTGAGGAAGCCTGCTTTGCTCTGGGGAGGAACGTGGGCAGGAGCCTGAGCAATAAGCTGTTCTCCATCACATGCAAACAACACTGTCTTTGTGTTGAGCTGCAATTAGCCCTCAGTTCAGAACAGCTGGTTAGCACTGAGCTCACAGGCCTGAGGGGCTGCTGGAAGGAGGAAGGACTGTTGTGAAAACTCCTCATAGTTTTCCTCGCTGTTGAGGTGTCAGCCTTTGGAACAAGTAGACGCGCAGCTGGTTGCTTAATGCCAGTTAAGGTCCATGTGTTTTTCCATATTAAAAGAAAGGAAAACCTCCTCCCTCTCTGTGCTGTGACAGCCTGCAGCTGGCCATAGGATTGGAGCTCTTGCTGTTAGGTTTGGGTTTAGACAGGCCGACTCACACACGTGATGTCTTGAGCTGGTCCCTTCAGCTTGGTCTACCTCGGAGTGCAGAGATGTGTCCCTGTTCCCCTCCCACGTGCCCAGCTCCGCCTGGGTGCCCACCTGCTTTGCCAAAGGGTTGCTGGGATCTCACTGCCCGAGTTCCCTGAGCTGGGTTATCGTTATCTCCTCCAAACTTAGATTAACAAAGTCTCCGTATGCTCTTTTATGTGATGCATAACCTGCCTGAAAATTGCTGATACAGAGACCTTGCAGCATGCAAATAGTTGTATTCAAATGGGCATTTAGCATGAATAATTAGAGAAATGTATGATTTTGCAGTGGATTTGTGTAGTAGTGTAATGTATTACGTGGTTTGGCTCTTACAGTTTGGGTTATAAACCAAATAATTGCTCAATCTCAAATGTTATGTGTCAGAGAGTATTTTTTTCCTCATTTTGAAGCATCTGGCATTGTCACATGTTCTCATCACTGAAAATTCCTGTTTTCTAGCTTACTTTTGGTGCAGATAAGAGAGCCTGTTCCCCTCCAGGGTGTTACTTTTCACAGTTCTGCTCAGTTTTCCACTTAACATAAACCAGCTTTCAGTCAGCAGTTCTTTTGATGAGGTATTTAGGCAGAGTGGACTTACTTCAACTCATTCCTCGAGCTACTTAGCTCTTGTAAAGGTAACAGGTATAAAAATGAGTAAAAGTTGGGTTGTTTTTTTTTCCTGTCAGTAAGAGGAGGAGAGATGAGATGGATTATAGATAGGGAGTATACTCGCTGGATAAAAAAATCACTAGTGCACTAATTAAGATTCTCTGATTGTGTCTAGGCAAAGTCTGGCTACGTGAATCTCACAGGGATTGACTACTCTCCCTCTGCAATACAGCTTTCAGAAAAAGTAAGAGAGAAAGAAGGGATGTCTAACATTAAATTAAAGGTAAGTCTTGAGAGAAACTTTGTTGAGGAAATAGAGAGTAATTGAACCCAAAATTAAATGACCTAATTGATATTCAGACGTGCTCAGGGTACTAAACAAATGATGTCTTTTGACATTTGTGAAAGAGCTCTAACCTAATAAATCTCTGTTTACAAGAAGGGTTTTGGTCTTTATTTTTGTTTTCTGTTTGTAGCAGTCATTAGGGCTAACAAGATTTCCCTGCTTGGAGCAGGAGCAGAAGAGTGATTCACCCTTTGGGAGTTCTATATTTTAGCTGCCACATTCTGAATTTCAGATTTGAGATAGAGGAAGAAATCCTGAAATGATAGATCCCTATCAGCAGCTGTGCAGCAGGAAGTTTGAGAGCCCTTGCTGGAGCAGGGGTAGGACCAGATGACCTCCAAAGGTCCCTTCCAGCCTCAGCCATCCCATGATTCTGGGACTGCCTGTAATTCTGAGCTCTCTGTCTGCTGTGCTGTTTTATCCTCCAGCTCTGTACCTATGTGATGGTTCTGTTCTTGTGTCAGCTGTAAAATCTCTTTGTGGCAGGCACTGTCTGTTCTTCTGCATTTGTGCAGTGCCTGGCACGTGCCAGGGATCAAAGTACAAATTATGATTTATAGACTGAACTCCAAGTGTGTTAGTTTGAGCTTTAGATTACAGCAAATAGATCATCACATAACACACAGAGAAGAAAGGAGCTTCCATAGCATTGAAAAGGCCGTGAGTTACCCCTTCCCAAGCACACCTATTGTCAGCTTTGAAACGCTGTATTTTAAAGTCTTGCTTCGCGTTAAAGTTTCAGGAGCTGCTGAGCAGAAGATTGTTTTCACAGCTGTAGACTTCTGGTTTAGGTAGAAGACTTCCTGGCCCCATCAGCTGAACTGTCAGGCTTTGACATTTGTATTGACAAGGGGACTTTTGATGCCATAAGCCTCAATCCCGACGACGCGGCGGGGAAGCGGCAGCAGTACGTGAGATCCCTGTGCAGGGTGTTGAAACCACAGGGCTTTTTCCTCATCACATCTTGCAACTGGACCAAGGAGGAGCTGCTGAACGAGTTCAGAGAAGGTAAGCAGCTGAACAGAACCCTCTGCCAGCTGAGGGTTGTTGAAGGATGGGATGAGTGAGTTTTAATGTCCGTGTTAGCATATTGACTTTCCCAGATCAGGATTAGAGAAGGTAAAGAGATTAGTAAATGCTTCAGCCTGTCTCCCCTCTGTTTTCCTCTCGAATTGCATCTCCTGTGTTTGCCAGTGCCAAGGTGCCACGGGAGGACGGGTTCTGTTACACTTTGGAGGTTACTCTCAGTGTAATTACACTGGGAAAATGTGTACCCAGATGATACTTTTTTTTCTTTGAGTCCTTTATATCATACTGCAGTCACCCTTCTGATTGCTTTGGGATTGGGGTAACATTGTTACCCATGTTTAGAGGAACTGGCAAGTCTGTGACCTTTTGTGTCACCTCCTCAGCTGCTCTTCTGATCCACCATAGAGTTTTTTTACGTGCCAGTCACCTCCTGAATCCCCTACCTGAGACTTGAAACTCAGTGTGGATCTGAAACAACCATCCCTTGTGAGGAACTGAAATTACTGGCAAGTTCTCATCTTTTCTGCCATTAATCTGTGTGAGTCAGCCAGCTGAGATTTTTATTATCCATGGAAGAGGTTCAGCTGTATAAAGCAGTGGTGCAGTGCAACGATACAATCCTATAAACTCACAGATTAACTGACTTGCAAGTTTTCCAGACAAATAAAGAATGGTTTGCAAAGGGTTATCCAAGAGGCGAATAAAACGACTTCCTTCTAATAAAAGCATTTTAATTTCTGTCTGGCAGGATTTGAAATTCTGGAGGAGCTGCCAACACCCAAGTTTTGCTTTGGAGGAAGAATTGGAAACAGTGTAACAGCATTGGTTTTCCAAAGGAAAAAAACGAGGCCATCCATCTTGGACAAATTAGATTAGATGAGAAAAGTCTGAACTTTAAACCTGACAGAAAACCTCAGACACGTGTGTAAATAAATGCTTTTTGAGTGCACAGTAAAATACTCTGTATGGAACTCTAAGGGGCTATAAAACATTGCCCTAGAAACATTTCAGCTTTGCATAACTTGCCCATAAATTTTGTCCTTGCTACAACCTCACTTGTTTTAGGGAAGCTGCATGTTTGGGAGTGAGAGGGAAATAAGACATTCTACATACAGGTAACAAATCTAACTGAATGATGTTTGTGTTTGGAACATAAAGGTTATCTTTATCTGGTATTTAATTTTAGCGTCGGTAATCAGTGACCAATAGAGGCAAAGGTATTCTACAAAGCAAAAATCTCATTTCTCTGTTGTGCACTGGAATAGGGAACAAGCTTTTGCTATTTAAGTGCTTTAATATTAATTAAATTTCATATTACTTAAGGCACTTATATTAATACATATTAATATTAATTAATTAAAATCCTTAATTTTTTTTCTTTGGTGAACGTGAATGTAGCTGTTAAGGAGGGAAATTAATACAAAAACCACAGCACTTGCAAAAAAACGTCTAGTCAGTGCTTTAAATGCAGATTTTGAGAGGTTCTCATACTCAGCGTGGTTCTGTCTCCACTGAAGCAGCTCAGCTTTTTTCCCACAGAGGGAGTGTCTTTGAAGGTCTCTCTTGCCTGAGTGTGTTCATGGCTGGTCAGTTATTTTCCCTGGTCTCATAAATACATAAAAGTGGGATGTTACAGTCTTGCATTCTCACTGGTGAGTGACATGTGCCTCCTTCATGATTAATTTTCTGTATAGTAATGTCTTAAGAGCCACAATGACCTTAGCTTTTCTGGTGAATTTCTCAGGACAGATTTTAGCTGCATAAATCCAAGAGAATTCAAAGCATAACTATCCATTCCTTGTTCATCTTTTTTAATATAATTTTTAAACTTCTGTGTGTGATCTTTTTGCCTAATTTCTTTGCCTTTATTTCTTCTGCTGTTTTGTATTCTCTGAATATTAGTGTTGCTTGAAAGGCAGGAAGATGAGATTTCTTCATCCCTTGACAAACCCATTCGCAGGTGACAATAAACTTGTTCTTTCAAAAATCAAGGAGGCCCTGTTGGGCAATCAGGTTTTGTTTCACAGGCAAGGTCCTGTTTGCTTATCAGGGAATTGCTTCTCCTAGTTTCCACAGTTCTCCTCGTTCCCAGGGTTCAGGAGATCTTTAAGGGTCAATAAATGCATCTAGTCCTTTCCCAGGACAGGAATTAAGGCATTATTTGCACAGTGGTGAGTCCTCCCTCTGTGATCCAATTGTCCTTAAGGTAGGAATCCCAATTCCACATCTTTTTGTGAAATGGGATACATTCCATTGGAAGAATGGTTTATCAGCAGTGGTGAGCAGATGTAGTCCCTGTGAACAGTTCTTTGCATATTTGGTCAGGCCTGAGTTCCTAACTCAAATGCCAAAACCAAGGGCTTGTTACCATTTGGGTAACTATTGTAGTCCTGTGTGCTGTCTGCCCAGCAGCCAGCTGGAATGATAGGAAATGTAACAGGGAATCCAGACAGAGGGGTTTTTTTGGTACAAAAGATTCAAAGTACACTCCTGATAACACCCTCAGTAAAAAGCCTGTGACATTTTTGTAGCTGATTTGGCATCAGGTAGAGCTAATGCAAGGAAATTTTAATTGTCAAGGACTCTGGCAGGATGTGTTTAGGGCATCTGTTTTATTCCCATCTGTAATTTTTGCTAATGAAGGCATGATGTGTGTTTAATCATGGAATGAAAATAAAATCCTGGCTGTCTCGGATTTTCTTTTAATCAATTAGTTGGAATTTGACCATTGATTCACACTCCATAAGACATGTAAAGTTAAGGGCAAGTATTGTTTTTCCTCTTCATGGGATTGATTATTACTTTTTCTTCTCCAGGTAGTATTTTTATACAATTTGCTTTAGCAAAAAATAAGCTCCCAAAAATTGCTTGAAACTAAGGATTTCTGCATCTCATCTGTAGTTTGCATATTCCTTCTCAGGCCCAAGCACTCTCAGGTCTCACTGGAGAGTAGAAAAATGCTTGTAAAACATGTTTTAGGAGATTTATTTTAAGGCAACAATAACCAAAGACTTACTCTTTAAAATCTGCTCTGTTGGAAACCTGTATTTTGTGGATAATGGAGTCTAGGTAGCAGCTCAAATAGGGACTTAAGCAATGAGGTTTTTTTGGCTACTAGGATTTGGAAATGACATGTCCTTGATTTGGGGCAGTTCATCTTGCCAGGAGGTTCTTGATGGAGGCGTGATCTCTAAATGTTGATGCATTTCAGTGAAAAAAACAGCTGAAAAAGAGGCAGAGGAATAAGCAGTGGGTTAGGAGGGGTGAATATTTGCTGGAGGTTTGGGGAGTGCTTCGTGATGGTTCCTGAAGGCTGGAATCTTCCTGACTACACAGCTGTGTGACTCTTGGTTTCAGCTGCAACGCCGGACTACAGGAGAATAAATGCAGCATTTAAAAGGCATTTTCCTCCTATTGTTTCGCTATCTGAAAACTCTGTATGTGATTTCACTGTCAAATATGAGGTTTGTGGGTAGTAAAACTAACATCTGCCATGGATGGTGGTTGAGCCCACAGGCTTTTCCTGCAGGACCGAGTTTAGGCTGGATGACGCTGCAGAGCTGGCAAACCTTTCTGATGGAGTTTTGCATAAAACGTGGGCAGAACAGAAAGAGTTTGTGTTCCCTTGTTCATTGAGAGTGTGCTGAAGGATGGAATGCTCTCAGGACTGACCTTTTATTCCAGAGAGATGGGAGATGGCTTTTAGTGCCTAAGCTCAAAGAAGCAGCACCTCCACCAACATCTGTGCTTGGTGCAGCTCAGACATCTGATACCCAGCTCCTACTGCCAAGCAAACTGTTCAGGGATTTCTCTTTTAGGCATTTGCTGGGAGAGGCCATTGTGTTTGTTGTGGGGCTTGTACTACTGAAAGAGCTTGGAGCATTTTACCCTGGAATTTTATGGGGTGTATCACAAAAGTGAATTGTCAGCATGAAATACCTGAGAGAGGTGACCAAGCCATATTAATGAAATAATTATTGATCTGAGATGTCTGATCTAAGAGAATTTCTACACATGGGGCTCTGCTACAGTGTGAAGTAAATGGATTCTCGAGACAAAAAGCCTTTGCCTTTTCAGCATCACAGTACTTTCTTGAAGTAAATACTCTTCTAATCATGTTTATACAAATTAAGGAGTGAGAAATGCCAGACATGAAAATCGTGACACAACTCAATGAACAGAGAAAATTCAGATGGAAGGTTAATATTCCCTTACTCCTTGACTTCCCTTTTGGTGACCAGCTTGTTATTTATAAGAGAGGATGTTCATTTAACGGTCCTTAAGGAGCAGGAACAGTCCTAGAATGCCAGAATGGTTCGGGTAGGAAGGGACCTTCAAGACCATCTTGTTCTAATCCTCTGCCATGGCCAGACACACCTTCCACTATTCCAGGTTGTTCCAAACCTTGTGCAGCCTGACCTGCAGTCCTGTTCATCAACTGTTTTGTAAATGGGGGTTTTTTGTTGTTTTTTTGGAGGCTTATAAGCTATAGAATTAATATTGTGTTTTTGAAACTAAGTATAATTTTGTGATGTAACATGAAGAATTTCTGAGAGCTACATTTCTTCTTTTTTAAGAGCTGTTGGGTTACATCAGAAACACCAACAGAATTATGGCAGCTACTTTTGCAGACAGGGCCAGCAATGATGAAGCAAGTAATTACAGGCTCTCTGTCCCATCAGGAGAATATTTCTTCAAATCATTATTGAGAGCATCAGATTGAAATAACTGTTTGCATTATGGGCTCACCTTCTCAAATTTAAATCTGGTGTTGCAACACCATTTCTGAAATCTGGGAATAGCCAGCTGCCTTGATTGTATCGTAGGATTTGGGGTATTTAACACCTACAGCAAAAGAGGCTCAGCTTTTTTTTTTTTTTTTTTACTTTGTACTTTTCTAAAAAGGAGCCTTCAGATATCTGGAGTTTTAAACCTGCTGTTGCTGTTTGCAGGAGAGCTCGTTAGACCTGAGCGAAGAAGTGCATGTCCCACCACACAGGTCTCAGGTGTGAGTCTCTGGAGAGAAAGCAATGCTCTCTCATATCATTTGTATCGAAATTATTTCAGTTCTGCAGACATTTCTGGTGCAGACTCTGACATCTGTGAGCCTGAACGGGCAAACAAGGGGATGAGCAGCAATCCCTCCCTTAGAGCGACTGGGTTTGTAGCCAGGTGTGTGGGGTGAAGCCAAGTGTGCAAGGAAGAACAGAGAGATACTTGGGAAGCTCCAAAGCTGAGCTGACACAGCTTCTTTGGAGTTCTTTTATGTCAGGATGAGTTCTTGAATAGCTTTTCTGGTACATTAGGCACAGCATGCTTTTCTCCATCACTGACACTGGCTTCCATGTATTTCCACATTCCAGGAATGCACTGGCAGCACTGAAGCCATTGTAAGGAAAATCTGCATGTATATGTACTCTGCTGTGTCTGTTCTACTGTGTTCCAGGGCGCCTGGTATGAGGCTGCCAAATTTTATGTTATTTCATACCAGACAAAAATCTTTAAGTGTGGTATTTAGCAACATACAGCAAAATTTTCAGTGTTTTGGCACTGGGATTGCTTTCCTGATCTTGGCATGCCGAAAGGTAAAGAACACAGCTTGCTACAACAATAACTGCTCTATTTTATAGGCCCTCTAAGCATTTGAACGGATCGAATCGTCTCCTGTAAAATATGTGGAGAGCACTTAAGAAATAATTGGACCAGGGCTCTGCATTGCCATACGGAGCTCTGCCTTTGCATTCCCGTTGCTCCCTGCCTTTTCTGGGATAAGAGGAGGGGGAGACTGCCCTTCACAGTGTTACCTGATCCAGGGATGAAGGGGTGCTACGGATGCCTTGGAGGGGATGGCTCTATCCTGTGCCTTGGCTGGAAGTACGTTGAGCATGACCCAACCCTTGTGGGTAGCAGCAAAATTGAGGAGCAATTAATGGCTACCAAGGGCTTTCAGTGAAAGGGGATGAGGTGTTATAGCCTCGAGACAAAGGAGGAAAAGGAACGCTG